AGCCCCCCCCCACCCTAAGGCCCCAGGGGTGGGGATTGGTGGCCGCTGTTTGTATTGTGTCCGAGTCCTTGAGCGCAAGCGTTTTATAAAAAAACAAAAACCCACTGTCACAAAAAAATTTTTGCAGCGAAGAGAAATGAAGAAAAACCGAAGAAAAAAAAAAGGGGGGGGAAGAACCATACAAAATTTTTCCACCACACGCACCCTCTAAGCCAGCAAGATTTCCTCTTTGCAAAATCATATTTTTGTGGGAATGGGCCCTGCTTTTTGTGGCAAGGCCTGTTCTGATTAATAAAGGATCATGAAAAAATAGGGCCTTGGCTGTTTCCTCCGTGGCTCCCAGCCCTCTGTCACCTCCCCATGGGGACCAGCGGGGTCAAGGGGATGGGGAGCCCGGGGCTGGGTCTCCCCAAAGTGTGTCATCTTTGGGATCTGACCTCACTGGTGACCTGGTCCTTCCTGAGCTTAGGGCTCATCCTCAGATCTAGAATACGACTCTACCAGCTGCCCAGAAGGCAGCGCCCAGATCAGCTCTGAGCAAGGCTTATTGGGAGTGAAATCCCTCAAGGCCTCAGGGGTTCCCTCTGAGCTCACCCAGCCTGACACCCCTCCCTCAGTGCCCAGGGAGCCCTCACCACCCTCCTAGGCAGCTCACACAAAAACCAAAGGGGCCTCTCCCCTCCCGCCACCACCCGCTGGGCCACCATAGTTTCAGGCCAATGTCTCCTTCCCGTCCCTATAGGGTAAGGGACACACCAGGCTCTGGGTCTGTGGGCCCACCCGGTAGTTTCCCTCAACCCTCATAGAAGTCTCTCCCACTCGAACCCGAGGCCTAGGAAGCTGGGTTTCAACCCCTTCTCCAGCCTCTGTGGTCCTGGGCGAGCTCTCTCATTCCTCCCACCCCGCTTCCTCCGTCCCCAGCAGAGCAATAACCGGCCCACCTTGCCCTTCCCTCACCACACGCAGCCCAGGGGAAGCTGAGGCCCGGCTCTCAGGGTCCTTGGGAAGGAAGGTGCTACATTGGTTTCAGAAACAGGCACAAAAGGAAACAGAGCACAAGCCCACTGTCATGTGTCCGCCTGCAGGCCCCTGTCCCCTCTGGAAAGAAGGGGCCTCAGGTCTCCTGCACCCAGCCCTGGGGCGGGCAGCCGCTTCCTTGGCTGCACCGAGTACCCTGCCTGAAGCAGGCCTCCCTCTCCCTTCTGCCCCCTCGGTCTAAACGTCCCTTTAAAAGATGATTCTTTCTTTGGGCGTCTATTCTCTGTTCCAGAGATCCGAGGGTGTCCTGGGGATCAGGTAAGTAGCCTCAGGAACACCCCTTGTCAGAGCGTCTGTCTGGGCCTTCTCTGTGAATACCCAGCCTGCAAGCGGAGCCGGCCAGGCCTGGCAGAGGGTGGTTGTCCCTTGTCACTGCCTCAGGCCTCTGCCCTGGACTTTGGGCCTCTTTCTTCTGCTTCTCCGGGTCTGTCTTCCTCCTCGCCTGCTCTGAGATACTCGCCCCTTCCCTGTCCCTGGGACCGCTGCCCTCTGGTGTTTTCTTTCTCCTGCAAGTCCCTCCTGGATACCACTGCTTTCCAGAAGGCCATTCTGGGCCACGTCCCGCTCTTCTGTCCTTCCCCCGCAAAGACAAGCAGAAGGACTCGGCTTGCGCGCGCTGTATGCCCCGGCCCGTGGCTCCCCTGACCATCTGTTTCCCGTGAAGACGCCTCGCTCCCCGTGTCTGTGTCCTCTGTGTATGTGTCGTGTCTCGTTGAGATTGTGAGCCCCCCGGGCAGGAATCCCTGTCTGACGACACGTTCTGTGTGGCACGCCTCGGTGTGCTAATAAATGTTCATCTTCAGAACAAGAGTGCCGGGTGTCTGGGGGAAACTTTGGGACAGATGGCTGTGTAAGCCCATGTGGTGACACTGGAGGCAGGCAGGGAGGTGCCTCTAGGTAGGGACCTCAGCTCCCAAGCACCCTCTCCACCCGCTTTCCCAAGCCCCCGAGGG